AGCTGTGGTTATCGAAACAGTATGGTGTTGGCATGAAAAGAGACACATAGATCAATGGAACAAAAAGCCCCAAAATAAACATATACATGCATGATCAATTAATTTCCAAAAAAGGAGCTAAGAATATACAACAGGGAAAGAACAGTCTCTTTAATAAATGGTGTTGGGAATACTGGACAGCCACATGCAAAAGACTGAAACTGGACCACTCTCTTACACCATAGACATAATTCACTCAAAGTAGATTAAAGGCTTGAAAATAAGATCTGAAACCATAAAACTCCCAGAAGAAAACATAGGCAGTAAGCTCCCAGACATTGGTCTTGGCAATGCGATTTTGGATTTGATACATAGAAGCAAAGTCAACAAGGGGCGCCTAGGTGGCTCAGTTGGTTAGGCGTCTGACTTTGGCTCAGGTCATGATCTCACAGTTCGTGGGTTCGAGCCCCGTGTCGGGCTCTGTGCTGACAGCTAGCTCAGAGCCTGGAGCCTGTTTCAGATTCTGTATCTCCCTCTCTCTCTGAACCTCCCCTGATCACGCTGTCTGTCTCTCTCAGAAATAAATAAAACATTAAAAAAAAATTCACATTAAAAAAAAAAAAGAAGCAAAGTCAACAAAAGCAAAAAAATAATAATAATAAGTGGTACTACATTAGTCTAAAAAGCTTCTGTACACCTAAGGAAACTATCAACAGAGTGAAAAGTAATCTATGGAATAGGGGAAAATATTTACAAATCATATATCTGATGAAGGACTAATATCCAAAATATATAAAGAATTCATACAACCCAACGGCAAAAACACAAACAAAAAATAGATAGAGGATCTGAAGAGATATTTTTCCAAAGAAGACATCTAAATGCCCAACAGGTACATGAAAAGGCGCTCAACATCACTAACTACTGGGGAAATGCATATCAAAAACCACAATGAGATATCACCTCATCATACCTGTTGGAATGACTATTAGCAAAAATTCAAGAGATTACAAGTGTTGACAAGTATGTGGAGAAAAGGGAGCACCTTTTCACTGTTGATGGGAAAGTGAGTTGGTGCAGCCACTATAGAAAAACACCATGGAGATTCCTCAAAAGATTAAAAAAAGAACTACCATATGATCCAACAATCCCACTTCTGGATATCTATCCAAAGGAAATGAAAACGGGATAGCAAAGAAGTATGTGCACCCCCATATTCACTGCTATTGCTATTCACAATAGCCAAGATAAGGAAACAACCTATGTGTCCACCAAGCAATGAATGAACTAAGTTGTGGTATTTATACACAAAGGAATGTCATTCAGCAGTGGAAAAAAAAAAAGAAAAAAGGAAATCCTGCCATTCTTGACAACATGCATGGACCCTGAGGCATTATGCTAAGTGAAATAAGCCAGTAGAGAAAGACAAATACTGTAAATACTGCAGGGATCACTTATGTGAAATCTGGGACACACACAAAAAAAGTCAAACTCCTACAAATAGAGTAGCAAAGTGGTTGCCAGGGGCTGAGGTTAGAGGAAGCAGCCAGAGGTTGATAAAAGGTATATACTTTCAGCTATATAAAGCCTAAGGATTTAATGTATAACATAGGGACTACAGTTAATAAGACTGTATTATTTAATTGAAATTTGCTAAGAGGGAACTTAAATGTTCTCATACACACAGGCAAAGAGAAATATGTGAGGTGATGGATGTGTTAATTAACTACATGGTCGGGATTCTTTCACAGTATATATAGTATATCAAATCATCACAAAGTATGCTTTCGGTACCTTACAATTTTGCCAGTCAAACCTCCATAAAACTGAAAAAAAGAATAAAGGAATCGATGTGGACAGGATCCCCGCTAACATCTGTTCTCTCATACTCTTATCAGCAAACATGTCTCCTTTCCTTTCCTTTGCTCATGAGTCTTCTTACCTAAGCCACGGTCTTTCCTGCCCCGTAACACCATTATTTTTCTACCCCTTAGGCTTCTGTCCTGAAAATGGCTCTGAATAGTTTTTCAAAAGATGAGAGATTTTCAGCATAGTGTACCATGCCCTTCACATCTTCCATCCCCAGTAAACCCCAGCATGCCTCCAATGACAGTGACCCACAGTCAATTCTCAATCATACAGGAGAAGAACTAAGTACAGGCTATACATGCTCTATCAGTTCCAGTCTAAATGGAAAGGGTCTGCCGTCATGCTTCTCCCATGGTCTCCATTCCACAAAGTAGGCAGGGTCAAGGCTAGGGGAACACAGTTCCCAAGACCCTGCTGTTCAACCTTCAAGTGGGGGAGGCTCTAGGGAAGACAAGAATATGTGTCAGGGAAATGTACAACTTGGAACAGGGGCTTGGGACCCCAGTCAGGCCCCTCTGAGATGCAGCATGGAATTCCACCCTCTTCATTCATCCATCCATCCATCCATTCATTCATTCATTCATTCATTCTACCCTCAGCCTTGCCCAAGGTGCAGATCTAAGCTAGGACAGGGCAAACTTTGAGTCCCCATAACTGGGCAATGCATTCGAGGCTGACATCCTACTAACCACCTTACCAGGCTAGCACGGCTGTCACTTCTTTCCAAAATGTGCCCTCTTCCTGCTGGCAGTTGAAAGACTACTGACCAGTTGTATGGAAACCAACATGACAATAAACTATTAAAAAAAAAAAGAAAGAAAGAAAGACAGACCACTGACCAAAGAGCATGCTGGGTCCCCACCCATTATTGCTTAAGTGATTTCAAGACTCTAAGATCCATTACCCAGCGAATTCACCTAGCTTGTCCTTGCCAAGGGGACACAGTATGCCTCGGTGCACACATGCCTTCATTCTTCAAAACTTACTCCAACCAGAGCATCCTCTGGCTTTTCCAGACTCCTCTCTGAGGGCCAGTTCAGGCTGTTTGGGGCACCAGGGACTCACTGTAAGAACCTCAACCCAAGCTGTCAGGATCCAGCCTCATCCCACAAGGGCATGAGAAAGACTGTCTAGAGCTTATTTTATCTACTTTTGTAGCTGTTAAAGCACAGTGCTAAAACAGTCACTGCAGGAAAAATGGTCTAGAATCCAGCTGGTGCTCACAATAAATATTTATTATACAAATGGATACATCTAATGATTTTCCCACTGGACATTTATCTAAACCACAAATGTAACTTTTAATCAGTCAATCAGGGTTTTTTGGTCATGGATGCCATGAGCTTATAAAAATTAATTAAAATAATATGGGTATAGATATTTTTGTATCTTTTTATGGTTATGAATGGTTCTCTACCTAACTGTACACAGGGATCAACCAATTGCCTAATAGTAATAGACACCCGATGGGCACTCGTGCAGAATATACTGCCAGGAGTATGTTACTTCCTCTGTCTTATCACTCTCAAGATGAGAAACTTTCAGAATAACTGAAATGATAACATAAAGTATGTTAATGTCATTAAGTGTCAGATTCTGATACTGATGAATTCCTGATGAATTCTGACGATTAGATTTGAGGACTTACACTAATTTCTCACTTATTGCCATGAAATACGTGACTGCATTTATAAAAGACTAAGCCTTAAAAGGTTCCGCTTCAATGACTATTAAAAAAATTGATTCGTGAAGGGTTAAGAGCTTTTCTGTGTAATGGAAATCTCCTAGGGTTGGACATGTAAAATCCCAGTGGTGTTTATTTTACATCAGGTCTGCAGGAGGAACCCGAGAGTGCCCCATCAAGGCATGAGACAATGTAAAAGTAGTAGAGACTGGTCCAGGGAGCGCAGGGTCAGGATAACTTTGAGCACAGGGGGAGAGAGGAAGGAGGGCATAGAATCAAGCTGCACAATATGACCTTTGAGCTCTCAACTACAAACCAAGACCTAGACCTGGAAATCACAATGAACAACATTCTCAATAAACAGGGACGTGTCATTTCCTCCAAATGAAATCATAAAGGACAAGATGAAGATACCCAGACACTTACTCCTACCCTTATAAAATACTCCCTATTATTTCTGTGCTGTTCTGGTTACTACACATCAAAAAGGAACAGAAGTAAAATTAAGAAGCATCAAAAAAAAAAAAGTTGTCAAGGGGAAAAAAAACCCACTTAACAAAAATTTTAGTATCAGTTTTAGACCAAATGAAAGATAATTCTAAACTATTATTAAATTAATAAACTTACAGAAATCATACCAAGAGATTTTACAGTCCAAAGTTATAATTCAAAAACAGTTTAAAACAATTCGTAAATATAACACAAGCAAAATAAGGGTCTGAAGGAAAGCTAGTGAATTGGGCGCTCTCACCTCCTGGAGATGAGACTACCTTCTTGAAAGGCCTCCCTATTGCCCAGCCAGAGACAGAACACCAGATTAACCACACTACCAAAACACACCACTTACCTTTCAATCAAATGTCTCAAACAATTTGTTAGGGCTGAGAAATATTTCTGTTATACAGACACATGCTTCTGCGCCAGAACTGCTATTACAGGATCCCTGGATCTCAGAGCCCACGTGCTGCGTCATGGGTACCGTTTTAACTCACATGAACAGATTTCTCATACAAACAAGCAAAATTGGCCCTGAATCTCTTATCCGTTTACACGTTTACACGTAGGCTACTCTTCCCAGCATCACAGTTGGAATGAACCTTTACTAGACTAAAGCCTCTTGTAGGCAGTTCTTATTTATCTCGTAGTCCCAGAGCAGCGCAAGGAAGGCCTTGACTTTGACAGACTCAAGGGCACCTTGAGCTGACACACTAGGGCGTTTTATAAGTGGGGGGGGGGGGGGGTTGGCGGACGGACAACCACTTGCTTGCTGGTTATGCAAGTAATGCCATCGTGTGCTGATGCAGGAACTGCCATCTCATTTTTAAACCAGGTCCTTTGAAAACTTAACACTTTGTGGGGCTCAATACATGAGGGCCACACTTCTTGTCGTTTTACCATGCAAATCGAGCATTTGAGGCGAAAACATCAACTTCTCCCACCTGTTTTAAGCAGGAAATTGCAGGCTTACCTTTGGCACTCAGTTATAAGAGATGACTGGCAAAATGCAGAACTCCTCAAAACGTGAATTTCTCAGCTGGTCACACCTCCTAAAGTTACAAAGTTGAAGGAATTCTCCAGATTCTCGAATCCAACCCAAATCTCAGCAGAGGATTATGATCTGGGGAATCACTTGTATAGTAGGAACATATAAATTCTGAAAGGAAACAGAAAAAAACATTTATTGGGACCGCTTGCTCATTTGATTTTAAGTTAACTGCCTGATTATTCGCCTGAAATCAATATATATACATTTTTAAAATATAACTTATTGTCAAGTTGGCTTAATATATAGTGTGTAAAGTGTACTCTTGGTTTCAGGGGTAGATTCCCATGATTCATAGCTTACACACAACACCCAAAGCTCATCCCAACAAGTGCCCTCCTCAATGCCTGTCACCCATTTTCTCCTCTCCTCCCCTCCATCAATCCTCAGTTTGTTATCTGTATTCAAGGGTTTCTTATGGTTTGCCTCTCTCCCTCTGTTTGTAACTATTTTTCCCCCTTCCCTTCCCCTATGGTCTTCTGTTAAGTTCCTCAAATTCCACATGAGTGAAAACATATGATGTCTTTCTCTGACTGATTTATTTCACTTAGCATAAGACCCTACAGTTCCATGTTATTGCAAATGGCATGATTTCATTCTCATTGCCGAGTAGTATTCCATTGTATATAAAAACCACTGTATATATAAATCTTCCTTATCCATTCATCAGTTGATGGGACACTTGGGCTCTTTCCATACTTTGGCTATTGCTGAAAGTGCTGCTATAACACTGGGTTACATGTGCCCCTATGCATCAGCACTCCTGTATCCTTTGGATAAATTTCTAGTAGTGCCATTGCTGGGGTGTAGGGTAGTTCTATTTTTAATTTTTTGAGGAACTTCCACACTATTTTCCAGAGCAGCTGCATCAGTTTACATTCCTAACAATGGTGCAAGAGGGTCCAATATTTTTAATACACCCCAGAAAAAAACTGCTTTATATCTACTGACCCCTGCCCAAAAAAAACATCCTCCTTTTCCACCTTCAGCTCCCTGTCTGGTACCTCTGAGGCAGTCAGGTACCTCTTTGGAGGGAGAAGATGAGGACAGTGGAGACAGCTGGCCATAATCCAGGCACCTAAGTTCCCAGGATTCTTCAGCCCTCCTCCCTACGATGGCTTCTACCCACAGCCTTCCAAGCCTGATAAAAACAAAAGACAGGTTGCCAAGTGGAAAGGAAGCAAGTCTGAGAGCCTAATGAAGGGAGAAGGGTTGCAGAGAGCAGGGATATTTAAATTTAGAGACTCACTCCTCTGTCTTGGAGGTCTCTTGCACTGGCCATTTACTGGGAGATGTCCCCTACTGGACCCACAGCCTTGTGCTAAAAAACAGCCCTGCAGAAAATCTGAGAATAACATCCAGAAACCACAAGGAAGTTGAGACAAGAGAAGCCTGATGGAGATGACCTGCATCCTCTCCTTCTTGCTCAGGGGAAGTCCATGGCTGCCTTATGTTCTCTGTACTCGGGGGGGGGGGGGGGGGGGGGGACTCTTTTCAGCCCTTGCCTGGCCATTGCTGAGGGGACCCTGAAGCTCCGTGGAACTCCAAGAGAGTTCACGGACAGTTTTAATTACATTTCAGACCCAGAGGGGATCTGTCCTGACAGTCTACTCAGAGAAGATCTATTTATTCATCCCTGGCATGATTATGACCCAAAACGTTAAACACCCCATGGAAAAATCAAATTCTATTTTAGTCAGATAGAAAAGTATAATTCAAGTAGGGCTTTCATAAAAACGTTGTATGGCATGTTCATAAATTATGATTAAAAAATTAATTCCCCTTTATGCACTCTCTAGCATTATTTTAAAGGTTGCAGATGTGAAATATATATGATTTAACGGTGGGAAAAGGTGATGCCCCAATACAAAAGAAATACTAGATTTGGGTAAGATGTGTGCCAGGACAATTACACCCTTCTCTCTGCTACATGTTTACAATAAAATGACAGGGTCTCCAGGGATAGAAGCTTTGGTATCTGGACTCAGGTCTTCAGCAAACATTCTTTTTTTAAACCTTTATTTTTGAGAGAGACAGAGAGCGAGCTAGGGAGGAACAGAGAGAGAGAGGGACACAGAATCCAAAGCAGGCTCCAGGCTCTGAGCTGTCAGCACAGAGCCCGATGCGGGGCTCGAACCCACAAACCGTGAGACCGTGACCTGAGCTGAAGTGGGATGCCCAACCGACTGAGCCACCCAGGCGCCCCAAGCAAGTATTCTTATTTCACTTACTGCACTTACTGAAGAAAGCCACCAACTAAACACAGTCATGTCCACAAATGACATCTCCATTTTAGTATTTTCAGGGGTTCTTCTGGGCATAAATTGTATTTTTAAATTTTTAATTGAAAAGTGAACTTGCAGGGGCACCTGGGTGGCTTAGTCGGTTAAGCGTCCGACTTTCGCTTAGGTCATGATCTCACGGTTCGTGGGTTCGAGCCCCGCGTCAGGCTGTGTGCTGACTGCCAGCTCAGAGCCTGGAGCCTGTTTCAGTCTGTGACTCCCTCTCTCTCTGGCCCTCCCCTGCTCACGCTGTCTCTCTCTCTGTCTCTCTCTTAGAAATAAATAAAACATTTAAAAAAAAAAAAAGAAAAGTGAACTTGCCTGCAGCTGGATCCCCCTAGGCCATTGCTAGGGGATGTCTGTGAGGCTGCTAGAGCCATCGAATATGGGCTTCCATCTAGATGCACCGCGCTCTCACTAGTGATATTGTGTAATTCTTATAACTGTCCACGATAGCTATGAACACCCACTTTTTCACATGAGTTGACTTTCTCGGGGAGGTGAAGGGTTTTCCTTAACAGGCTCCAGTAAGGAACACAGGCCTCCTAAATTCTAGACTCACCACGGCAATGGTCAGCCCGGTGCCACAGTGACTTATTTCCCAGTCCCCAAGCTAAAGAACAAGGGGCTGGATCTGGAAGCCAGTCCTCTGATGCTCAGTGTGGCGGGCAAGGTAGAAAACAGAGCCAAATGTAAACTAATGGGGGAGCACCAAAGTGACACAGTTTTAAGTTCATTTATAGGTGCCCAGTGACTATCTGGGATTCAAGCGTGAAAAACAAGGCTGCAGTGTCTTTTCAGAGAAAAGCATTTCACGGACAAACTGTCAATGCACTAAGCATACACCTTCAATGGAAATAAACAGAGGGATCGAGATCTGTCTCATCCTGAGTTTAAACGCAGTCTGCCCACATCCTGTGTTTAATGTGGGGTTATGGGCGTATTCAAAACCTCTGGTAAAGACAAACATTTCAAATCAGATCTTAAGTACAAAGATTTAAACCCATCAGGAAAGCATACACCCTTGGGCAAAAACTACCTCAGGCTGCAAACACTACCACACACAAGGTCAGTCAGACTGCAGACGGGTCTCACCCAAGAATACAACTCAAAGATTGGCCTACAGAGTGCACTGTAGACAGACGGGAATGTACGTCTAGGTTTCCCTTGAAAATATTTCTCCACCAGCACCATGCACATCTCCCTTTAGAAACAGAAGGGGAAGAGGTAGAACTAGAAAGGACTGAACACTAATACCAAATGCATCTCCCTCTCCACATTGCTTTGGACTCCTAATAATACAAAATTTTATCACTGTGAAATCCACAGGATTATCTGCATTCTCTGGAATGCTGGCATTTTCTTTTTCTCAAATGTGTTTGTGAAAACCGCGAGCCACAACTTGGGGCTTCTCCCCAGTCTTCCTGGGGGAATCTGACTACAGCACCTGCTTCAACTGGGAGGGCATGCTCTGGGCTTGTGTGCCTTAGTACTTCGATCTGCAATTCTGGGAGCACTCTGGATCTTGGGACCAGGGTCTGGCACAGAGATGCCCCCTGTGGCGACCTTAGTCCAATTTAGACTTCCAGGGCCAGCTGTAGCCCCAGATACGTATTTGGGGTGGTCTCGGGATTCCTTCACACCTTAGCCCCGCATGGAGGTCCAGGGTGGTGTCCATCACTAATGTGCTTTACTCCAGGAGGTTCATGAAGGATTAGTAAGGGGGTATGTGCCCCGTTCTGCTGATGGCCCAAAGCTGTGTGCTGAACATTCAGCTCTACTTGCTTTAAAGCCCAATCAGCTGGTCCCGGGCCTCTGTTCCTGGACTACCCAAAACTCCCAACCATGAGATGTACCATAGCCAGAACCTGAACCTACGCTGGCCTGATTTCAATTTTTTTAAAAACATTTATTTATTTTTGAGAGACAGAGGATGAGTGGGGGAGGGGCAGAGAGAGAAGGAGACACAGAATCCGGAGCAGGCTCCAGGCTCTGAGTGGTCAGCGCAGAGCCTAAGGCAGGGCTCAAACTCTCAAACTGTGAGATCATGACAAGAGCCGAAGTGGGATGCTCAACCAACTGAGCCACTCAGGAGCCTCTGGCCTGATTTCAGACCCCTGCCAATGTTCTTTCTCCTCAGAAAAGATCACCACTAACGGGTAGAAGCTGGAGACTCTGGCAGAGACTGTCTGCCGCTGCCATCTGTCTATATTATCTATCTGCTCACTGGGAGGCCGGCTTCAGCCTCCCCAGTCAGGCAGGGACAGCATAACACTGTGTCAAAGAAGCACACCCACAGAGGCACAGAGCACCTTATTTTCAAAGGAACTGTTTCTCTTAGATGTCAATGTAGCAAAAAGAGAATTACTGAAAAACCTCACCTGACTGGGTTGAATAGTGCACACCACCAAAGGAGTTGTAGATCACATCAGGCGGGCATCACAACCCAATCTTACATATGCCAAATGCACCACGAGAACCCTCCAGACCCCTAATCTGTAGACAGTAGTACTAAAGGCAACTGTCTTTTTTCTTTCATTTGAAAAGGAAAGGAGAAAAAAAAAAAAAAAAACCACCTCACATGACTATCATAGGCCCTCTGGGCTCCCAAATGCCACAGCCTCTCTCGCCCTTTCTTACCCCTCCTTGCCCTCCCCAAGGGAGGTCCCTCTTCAGAGCATGTAGGCCTTGCAGTGGTCTGAGCAGACATCCCGCTCAGAAGGGATATGCAGGGCCCCTGCCTCACCAGAAGGACATGGGGCCAGGCCGCTGTCTTGCTGAATTCTGGAAGAAATAGCTAGGTTACCTTCCTACTAAGCTACTTGGTGG